TATCAATGTTTTTACATAACCAGTGAATTCAGCACCAAAAATACTCGATAAATCACAGAAAACACTTTTTTAATGATTAACCAATACATCTTCCCTGAGCTGATGATGTTTGCAAACAGATTTAGATAACTTTAACTAATGATCCCTTGTTAAACATTAAACTAATTAAATTATCAATTGAATATATAACTACAATATAATACAATATAATATAGCAAAATCAATAACAACAAATATTCGTGTACAAAATGATCAAAACGTGTGATCTGAACGTACTAAGAGAAACATACACACATATCCAGTGGTGTATTTAGGATTTGTGCTGCCCTGGGAGAGCTGGAGTGGATTACTTACCTGTCCAGTGGGGCTGCTGGTCGGGCAGGAAGGGGGCAGACAGGCTGAGTAGGCAGCGAGGGAGCTTTAATCTTCCTGCTCAGCTCCCTAGCACACCACTTAGTGATGCCGGCAGCCGGTCTGACGTCATGTTCCGGCTCCTGGCTTCATTAAGCGGCGTGCGAGGGGGCTGTGCAGGAAGAGCTCAGGTGAGCATGCTGCCTTGCTACCCGCTGCCCGCCCTGGGGGCTCAAAATTGGCTCTTCAGCCCCCCCCAAGACATGAGGCAAACCAGGGAACTGCCTGGTTGTTTGGGGGCGGCTTTTTTTGCCACCCGCTGCAAAGTGCCGCCCAAGGCAGATGCCTTGTTTGCCTCGTGTAAGATACGTCCCTGCACATATCAATGTTTATTTAGAACGCAGGTTAATGATACACGTCACCTATTATCATCACTACTGCACAATAAAATGAGTGAAAAGGCCAGGTCAGATATTTCTAACAGTATGAAATAAAATACATTAAGTTAGATAAAGGTATATAAACGCGAGGGCATAATGAGAGATGTGTCTTGACTTTTTGCACAGTGGGAAAGGTAAGTGGGTAATTAAAGGGTCTGTGGGCCAAAATATACCACAGGTACCAGGACACAGGTAGGTAAGGGCTAGGAATGCTCCAATAGGGACTGTGTGCTCCCATCCAATTACAAAACTGATAGTGAGGGTGAGCAGTGGCGTACACATGACCCATGGGGCCCCGGCTCGAAAATTGATCCAGGGGCCCCCCCCACACTTACTCGGCGTGGGTCGGGGCCGCGACACATGGCGGCGGGCACCTGGTCGCAGGGCTGCGACCCCGCGACCGCGTTATGCACACACACTTAAAGGACCACTACAGACACCCAGATCACATCAGCTCAATGAAGTGGTCTGGGTGCCAGGTCCCTCTAGTTTTAACCCTGCATCTGAAAACATAGCCGTTTCAGAGAAATAACTGCAGCAAAGGTATCCATTACTAACCTATAGATATTTGGGTATTACATTTCCCATGATGCTTTGCCACCTATCAATGGCATAGGGAGACTGTCCAAACTGTATCAGTCCTGTACTGTATACCATGTGCTCTAAAGGGATATGTGATAAAGAATAGAAATAGCAGCATTCTATACATGGAATCGAACTTAGCTTTTGCATTTAGTTTTTTTCAATTCACTGGATATGATTTTGCCCTGCTTTTGTAGATCCTTCACATCTCCGATGAAGGCATAGTAAAAGGCCCATGCTGCAAAACAAGCTTATTTCCCAACACTTTAAACTGACAAAGAGGGACATTTTAATTTTAGGAATGTGAGTAGCATGTGGCCAGGGCTGTTCTGAGACATTTTATGTGACTTACTAATAGAAATATATGCAAGTAAAATGTAATTTAGAATAAGAACTATGTCTTCCATCAGAAATATCAGGGTTCCTTACAGAAAATATAGGCCACTCTCTCACATATTATTATTATTATTAGTAGTAGTAATTATTAGTAGTAATTATATAGCGCCAGCTTATTCCGCAGCGCCTTACAATAAGAGGGGAATTTACCAAATGAGACAATAACTAAATGTAACAGGAACAATAGGTAGCTGAGGACCCTGCTCAAACGAGCTTACAGTCTAGAGGAGGTTTGGTATAAAAACACCATAGGAAGGGTATTGAGAGAGACAGTAAATAGACATGGTCGGAAAGTAGCAGAACTGGAGGTGAGAGTGGAGTGTGGCCCTATAGGAGAGAGCGAGAGGAAGGTTTGAGAGATAGAAGTTACTCTTGGAGGCCATAAGCCATACACATTCCTTGCCACACACAAATATACATACATTAACTTTCACATGCACATTATCAGGCACAATACACACACTGTCAAACAGACACACAACCAAATATTTAAGCTCACACACATAGCTAAATGCACACACTGGAAAACAGACACACAGCCAGACATACACACTCACACACAATAGATATACATACACTGTCAAACTGACATACAGATAGAGACACACACAGTCAGATACTTACAACATGGAACCTCAACCTATTCCCTGCACAGCAACCAGCAATAAATATACCCTGCCCCCAGAGGCGTAACAGAGGCCCCCCATACAACTTCCTCTTACCCCCCACGTCCCTGCCCCCCCCCACACACATGCAGAAAACAGATACACATGCAGACACATACATAGAACACACACACACAGAGACCAATACATACATACTGTTATGCTATAAGTAGAACAGATAAAGAACACAACTGCAGAATGGATAACTTAGTTATTTTAATTAGGATAGATCTAAGGTTTTGGAAAATGTCCTTTATCGTTAAGCGAGTACTGTAGCTTTAAGGATTTCTCCGCAAAAAAAGCAATTAGTTGAAGCAAAAGCAATAGTAGCAGATTAATTGCAACAATGTAGTAGCAAGCGAAATGGATAGAAAGCAGGAAACAGTCCAAATTTAATAACAACTCAATTCCCAGATATAGAGAACCCGAATACTTAAGGTTTGATGGGAGTACACTTCCACAAGCTGGTTAGCTGAAATCAAGAAGGCTGAATAACATAGATCAATCAGGTTCTTGAGAGTTAGAGTTAACAGGAAAAACTTTGTTCAGTCCGAGATCAGGGATTGGAGATGACAGGCAATCCGTTTAAACAGTCCAGTGGTTCGGTACACAATCAAAGAGGAGCTTAGACGGCATAAGGAACACAGAGGTAACCTAAAACATTAACTAAGCAATTTAAAACTGGTTTCTCTATAAGGCATGAGAAAGCCGCGTCAGAGAAGGGGACGAGGACTGTTCCGTCTACCAGGAAGTGTCAGAAACGGAGCTGAATATAATTTGACAGGTAAGTTCTGACACTCACAGACACACAAACACTTACAGACACACACACTCAGACACACAAACACTTACAGACACACACACTCACAGACACACACACTTACAGACACACACACACTCAGACACACATACACTTACAGACACACACATGCACATACAAACACACACATACACTTACAGACACACACATACACTTACAGACACACAAATTATTAGTATTAAATGTCCACCCAGCCTCCCTACCTGGAGAGCTGGTGTGGATCTGTCCCTGGGGTCCGGTGGGGCTTCAGTGTGGCGGGTGGCAGAGTTCCTGTGAGATGCGGCGAGGGAGCTGTGTTCTCCCTGCTTTGCTCCCTCGCGGGCTGTCTACTGATGCTGGGAGCCAGAATATGACATCAGCAAACGGCGCGTGAGGGAGCAGAGCAAAGAGATCACAGCTCCCTCACCGCATCTGACAGGAACTCTGCCGCCCGCCGGGGCTCCATTAGGTGGCCAGCGGGCACCTCTTGGGCCCCCCTATGACAGGGGGAACACAGAGGGGCGGCATTTAGGCGGTCCACGTTCGCAGGAGTCGTGGCTGTGGCTGGGCCCCCTGCAGTGAGGGGCCCGTTTGCAGCTGCGACCCTTGGGACCATGGTAGGTACGCCACTGCATGCCCGTTTATTCCCATCAGGCAGTCCTATCTGAGAGTTTATGCTTACAGCTTGCGCAGCTTTAAGAGAAGGAGGGCAGCAATATAACATGCCACACCCCCTCTACACATTGTCCAACACCTTATCCTGAAAAAAAAGAAATATCCATGCACACCTGAGGTTACTTCTAAAAGGCAGTCTTTATTTGAAACAAGGAAGTGGAGACAACGTTTGGCTCCTCTGAGCCTTTATTAGACTTGTTTTGCAAACAACACATTATTCTGAGCTGCCACTAGGATCAGCTCTATGATGACACTGGTAGGATATCTATATCTATGATATTAAATCATCCAGTGCTGTTGCCTGTGAGGATGCTATGCAGGCTCCTATTTAATAAAGGGCTTCTTTGATGCTGTCAATCAATGCAGTCTGTTTCAGGGAGATATATATCTCTCCAGTCAGACCAATAAGCGCTTCAGGGCCCAACATGGGCCCTGGAACTGGACGAGGCCGCTTACACACGTACTGCTTGTACCACCCTGATGGCGACTCTGATAAGAACAATGTATCTTATTTACTCAGACTGACTGCACTGTGAGTAATATTGCCGCAGAGCTCTGTTATACACCTAGATACACCAACAATATGGAGATGGCATTTTTCCATCTAATTTTTGAAGAAATGTTTGCGCAATTTATGACGTTGTTGGATTTTTTTCCCTCTGTTGCTTTTCTTGCACTCTATTATTTTTGAATATGCACATTTTTTTTACCCAGACTTTTTTTTAATTGCATTGTTCTTATGAATATAAGTGCAATTTTATTCCGACAGAAAGTGGCAGAATGTTTTTGCAACAAGAAATTACGCTTCTGAGATGGAAATTTCTGTGTTTTGGCCACTTTAACAAAAGTGTTTAAAATGATGACAGAATGTTACCGCAACTTTTCAGATCACTTAATATCCGCCAACGTTTTATTTAGACTTAGTTTGTGTGTTCCCACCTTCCTATAAATAAACAAAGCATTGTTTTTTTAAAAGCAGCATGTAAAGGTATGTGCATGAGTGTTTCACAGTTTGCTATGTTACATAACAAAAAGAATGTTGATACTCCCAGTTTGATACTTAAGAATTATATCCAGAGAACAAAACGCCTCCCTGTACTCACTTCTAATCTGTTATAAAATGTGATTACTTTGGCATTAGCACAGATATGTTATATAATGTTGTGATTATTCAGTGAACAAAACACAGTGAATGGATAATCACCCACACATGTCTTTTAAAAAATGACCTTTATTGCATTTGAAAGGACAACTGGTTTGGAGAATTACATTGTACTACCTAGACATGCCAGGAGATATCTCATTTTCCATCTGTACTCTGGAAACTGCGGTTTAAGTCTGTTAACAAGAAAGATATTAATATTAAACTTTTAATATATTTGTGATTACAGTTTATTTTGTGGTGTTTGATATTGAAGGAACATTCTGTGCTGATTTTGGTTCAACTATTAATTTTTATTTTTTTCATTTTCAATGAAGACTTAAAAGGACACTATAGTCACAATACAACTTTAGCTTAATAAAGCAATGTTGGTGCATAGATCATGCCCCTGAAGTTTCACTGCTCAATTCTCTGCCATTTAGTGATTAAACCACTTTTGTTTCTGGTTATGCAGCCCTAACCACTCCTTCCCTGGCAGTGACTGACACAGCCTGCATGAAAACACTTTAAATCAGATGTAACTTTAAAAGATTTTATCTTTTGCTCTGTAAATGGAACTTTAATTACATACAGGAGGCTCCTGCATGGTCTAGCAAGCTCTTAAGAGAGCAGAAGTTAAGAAATTCTAAATGAAACAGAATTTGCAATAAAGGACGTGTAAACATTATACGACTCTTTACAGGAAGTGTTAAAAAGGCTGTGTAAGTCACACACAGGGAGGTGTGGCTAGGGTTGCACAAACAAAGTGATTTAACTACTATGTGGTAGAAAAATGAGCGGTGAGACATTAAGTTGTTTTGGAGGCTATAGTGTCCCGTTAATTAAGAGAATATTAATATTCTTCTACCATCTATGATGTACCCTGTACTACCCGCTATATTGGGATTGCATATATATGTATGTTTCTACAACTTGATGCAACTCCAAGGATGGGGATTGTCCACCTGGCACCCGTACTGCAAATGCATGTATGTGTAACCGCTATTGGTCTGTTAACTCCTTTTCTGACAATAAAAGAATAATAAAATTAAAAAAAGAATATTAATATTTTTGTTATTTAATAGCAATACATTTGATATGAGGTATATTGGTAAGAAAATGAAAGGCAGGCTTCAGTGAGCTGACCATCAAAAAGGGTGACCAAAAACCTACCTGAACATAGGAGTTTGGTTTGCACGTTGCATAGCAACATGTGAAAAGTACTTAACCTCCTGTAACCAAGTGGCAGTCGAATGTTATATTTTCATGTGTGAAGGAAGCAAAAGAGTAGAGTATACAGAAGTTATTATTATTATTATTATCTTACTATTGGACTAACATATTATTAGCCCAAAACAATTTGGATTTGGCTGTGGAGCCTGTACAACGCCACCTGTTGGTTGCAAGGATCTAACAATGGCTGTATGCACTACCTGAATAGCAAGGAAAACTAATTTGCATATTCAGATAGATATGCATATTGCTGTTGCTGCAGGCAAAAGAGATGTTTTGTGTTTATTATTGTCTTCCTCACCCTTTATAACTATGTTATCAGGTTGTTATTATAACCCTGTATGTTCTCTGACATGTTTTGGTTATTTGTATTTTATTACATTTGTCACAGCAAGCTTTGTGTAATAAACGAATGGGCTAGTCTCAAGTAAAATAAAGTATTGTGTGTTAGTTCCTTTTGAAACTTGTGTCCTGTGTATATTTTTAGGGATCCCAGTGACAGAGTCTTTGGGCCTGTTTGCTGGCTGCAGGATCCCTCTAACTGTGGGATAAATCAAGAAAGCTAGGCCTGAGAGCCGCAGGTGTAAAGGCAATAGCAAACGCTGTAAGCAGAGCTGCAAAGGAATAGGCAGAGGGGTTGATACCTGTGTGGAAGAAAGGCTGCAGCACAATAGTCAGAGGGGACGGTAACTGCATGGAAGGAGAGCTACAGCCTGCTTGGGTGGAAAAGCCCAGTCTGGGCGCTGACTGGGGCAACCTAACTGGTTTCCCGAGTCCAGCTAGGGAGTGAACTTGGCGGAGGTACCCACCCAGGGTGGCAGCGGTGGGATGGTCCCTTTCTCTGGAACTAGAGTAGAGTGGATGGATCAGTGCTATGTGTAACGGACCGTTTCTCTCACAAGAGGATAAAAACCATTTAGGCGATAATCCCCTTTCCCATAGACCAGCAGCTATTGCAATCACCAACCTCCCGAACTCCAAACTGTACGAATCCCCAACTCACGAACAAGAAATACACAAACTCTGGAAGCAACCGAACAGGAAAAGCCATACGAACGGCTTACACTCCTGGCAGTCAGCACACAATCCAATTCCCCCAATAACGAGACGACACTTCGTTTTGAGGGTTAAGCAGAATCTGAGGTGCTGGCACACCCAGCCTGGTTTTTATTACAGTGTTTTCAAATACAGGACCGCCTACAGGGAGGTATAAAACAACCAATAACATCACAGTTACATCCCACATATTCCCTCCCTTTATCCTGAGAGGAAACTCAATTATACATACAGTTAAAACATACTTTCTACCCAACTTTCATAACTCTAAAACCATACATCACATTCACATAAAATTACACATTCACAATCAATCCATTCAGGGGAACAACATATTAAAAATGGCACAAATCAGACAAGGGGTTCAAAAGTTAGTAAAAAGTCCTTTGTGACTAAATGAAGCATGGCTTTCTGGCCCAAACCAGTTTCAGAGCCTTCTATCCTGGAGATAAGTAATTAAATTATCACCCAGGACAGACACAGACTCCATTAAGCACATGGTTGCAAAAAGACACAAAACACTTTAAAATACATAAAGTCACCTTTACACATAACACACAGACATTTCACATATCCCCAAATTAGCTGGGATCTGAGTGCACATTATTAGATGAATGGCACTCAGATCCCACAAATAAGCCTTTCTGCAGGGGAAATAAACGGTTAAACCTGCAGGGCCATAGTCCAAAGGGAGCAGGCGAGCAACCAGGCTTCTCCAGTTCACAGTGGCGAGGTTGGTTTCGCCACACTTCTCCCCTTTACCAACTAGACTAACAGGGTATCTGACCTCCTGCCGGTCAGTGCCCTGGTTAGTCCAGCAACCCACCCACAAAACAGAAACAGCAGTACAGCCCACCCACAATAACTGGTTACTACACCTGGGTAGAGGAGAACTTTGTCCATGTCCAGGTGCCTCACCACGACTGTGTGGGCAACTGTTAGGCTGCCTTGGTGGGTTGCTGAGTGGGCAGAGACCAGCGGTACTCTGCCCTGATGCCAGTGCTACCACGGAAGTAGCCTGGTGGGAGCCTGGTTGTGGGAGGGAGAGACCGACTGTCTCCCCTCTGGATACACCGCTCTGTGGCTGGGGAACAGGACCGACTGTCCCTACCCCTTGTGCTGTAAGTGCAGAGACTACAGTCCCATTTGCACTGTTGGGGGGTGTAACATCTCCCCTTGCTGGGTTAGGCTGCCGCTGGAGAGAGGGTGTAACAAGCTCCTCTCTCTGAACTGTAAACTGCGGCTGGGGAGAGGGGGTATCAGGCTCCTCTCCCTGACACTCTCTCTGCTGGTGGAGAGGGGGACCAGCTGTCTCCCCTTTCATTATTTTGTCCTGTGGTTGGGGTGCGAGACTGACGGTCTCTGCTCCCTGCAGGACACTCTGCCGCTGGGGAGGAAGGACGGCACCTTCAGCTCCCTGGGGTACACACTGCCGCTGGGGAGGAAGGACTGCACCTTCAGCTCCCTGGGGTACACACTGCCGCTGGGGAGGAAGGACTGCACCTTCAGCTCCCTGGGGTACACACTGCCGCTGGGGAGGAAGGACTGCACCTTCAGCTCCCTGGGGTACACACTGCAGCTGGGGAGGAAGGACGGCACCTTCAGCTCCCTGGGGTACACACTGCCGCTGGGGAGGAAGGACGGCACCTTCAGCTCCCTGGGGTACACACTGCCGCTGGGGAGGAAGGCCGGCACCTTCAGCTCCCTGGGGTACACACTGCCGCTGGGGAGGAAGGCCGGCACCTTCAGCTCCCTGGGACACACACGGCCGCTGGGGAGGAAGGACGACACCTTCAGCTCCCTGTAGCTCACACTGCCGCTGGGGAGGAAGGACTGCACCTTCTGCTCCCTGGGACACACACTGCCGCTGGGGAGGAAGGACGGCACCTTCTGCTCCCTGGGATACACACTGCCGCTGGGGAGGAAGGACGGTACCTTCAGCTCCCTGGGATACACACTGCCGCTGGGGAGGAAGGACGGTACCTTCAGCTCCCTGGGATACACACTGCCGCTGGGGAGGAAGGACGGTACCTTCAGCTCCCTGGGGTACACACTGCCGCTGGGGAGGAAGGACGGTACCTTCTGCTCCCTGGGGTACACACTGCCGCTGGGGAGGAAGGACGGCACCTGCAGCTCCCTGGGATACACACTGCCGCTGGGGAGGAAGGACGGCACCTTCTGCTCCCTGGGGTACACCTATGAGTCCCCGTAACGCACTCTGCCTCCGGATAGGGCGGCTGATACCTTTGGCTGGATCTGCCATGAACTCCAGGTACTCGTCTACCTGGCTCCTTACGAACTGCACGTATTTCTCCGGGGGGTTGGGTCCAAAGAAAGCCAGCCGCATGGTAAACTCCCTGTCATACTGCTCCTGAGTGTAGCTGGGTGCCATGCTTGCGCTGCTGAAGTTAGTTCTTTTGTAGATAGGGTCGCTGTACGGGTACTGGCGTTGCCCTCACTTTGTAATCCAAGGAATGGTGTTGCCCTGTAGCTGTCTTTCTGGTTGTAGGAACGATCCCGCCGCTTGCCACCAATTGTAACGGACCGTTTCTCTCACAAGAGGATAAAAACCATTTAGGCGATAATCCCCTTTCCCATAGACCAGCAGCTATTGCAATCACCAACCTCCCGAACTCCAAACTGTACGAATCCCCCAACTCACGAACAAGAAATACACGAACTCTGGAAGCAACCGAACAGGAAAAGCCATACGAACAGCTTACACTCCTGGCAGTCAGCACACAATCCAATTCCCCCAATAACAAGACGACACTTCGTTTTGAGGGTTAAGCAGAATCTGAGGTGCTGGCACACCCAGCCTGGTTTTTATTACAGTGTTTTCAAATACAGGACCGCCCACAGGGAGGTATAAAACAACCAATCACATCACAGTTACATCCCACATATTCCCTCCCCTTATCCTGAGAGGAAACTCAATTACACATGCAGTTAAAACATACTTTCTACCCAACTTTCATAACTCTAAAACCATACATCACATTCACATAAAATTACATATGCACAATCAATCCATTCAGGGGAACAACATATTTAAAAATGGCACAAATCAGACAAGGGGTTCAAAAGTTAGTAAAAAGTCCTTTGTGACTAAATGAAGCATGGCTTTCTGGCCCAAACCAGTTTCAGAGTCTTCTATCCTGGAGATAAGTAATTCAATTATCTCCCAGGACAGACACAAGACTCCATTAAGCACATGGTTGCAAAAGACACAAAACACTTTAAAATACATAAAGTCACATTTACACATAACACACAGACATTTCACATATCCCCAGATAGCTGGGATCTGGGTGCACATTATTAGATGAATGGCACTCAGATCACACAAATAAGCCTTTCTGCAGGGGAAATAAACGGTTTAACCTGCAGGGCCATAGTCCAAAGGGAGCAGGCGAGCAACCAGGCTTCTCCAGTTCACAGTGGCGAGGTTGGTTTCGCCACACTATGAGAGAATGAAGTGCTCAACCCTCAAGGACCTCTTGGAGGTATGAAGGAGACCAGCCAGCAACAAGGTCAAAGTGGTATTGTAAATGGAACTAATGGAGCTTGATAATGCAAGCTCAGCTTCATCGACACCCTCTTAAGCTTCATCCGAGGAGGAGGCTCACCTGCGGTCGGTGATCATTCTTCAAGTTATCGCCAGCGTGGTTGCAGCCATACAGGCAAGGCGGGCTCACAAGTTGAAGCAAGTAGAAGTACAACGACCAGCACCCTTGGCCGAGGTAGCCTATCCAGCAGCACCGGACAAAACAGAAAATACCCTTTGCTACTTTTAAAACAATTAATAAGGGCTGAAGAGGAGATCGATGGGTATCTGGCCGACTTTCAGCAACAGTGCAGCCAACATCAGGGACCCCAGGTATCTACGACTGGTTACCACCTATCTTAGCCGGTAAGCTATCCGGGAAGGCAGTTCCGCCCCATACCCGATGAGGAACTGCGCAGATATGACTGGGTAAATAAAGCCCTAATAGCCCAGTATTAAGTAACACCAGAGGCATACCAGCGTACGTTCAGAGAACTATTAAGGAATGAAAGAGACTCATTTACAGAATTGTCCTGCAGAGCGGTATGCGCACCTGGCTCTGACGACCCCGATAGGTTACTCCTCCCGGATCTCTTAGGAGAAGAGAACCCAGAGGGGTCCATAGAACAAGTACAATTAGGTGAAAAGTTAAGCCTGAACAAAGACACAAGTCATGAAGGGTAAAACGAATCTCAGTTTAATGGTAGCCACAACTAGCCTTTTATGACAGTCCCCATGCAAGGGGCACTCCCCCCTGGAGCTCAGAGTAAACCGCAGTAGAAATAAATACACAATCACATTGGCTCTCAGGTCCTGCACACTCCCATACAAAATCAGATAATCCCTCCTCTGTGCCTGGGAGATAATTGGGTCAGGAACTGTACTAATCTAATCCATTTATCTCCAAGCACAGAAAAAAACATACATTTTCCCAAACACCCCAAAAGTACCCTAAAACATACAAACCCCCCACAAATGTTACAGCCACTGATAGCACTGATCTGGGTGACCAACATATCCAAAATCAATTCAGGGGTTCAGGAATTTCTTGGAAGTCTTATTTTTGGCTGACTGCACGCATGGTCCCATGCCCAAAACAGTTCCATAGAATCGCGGCTAAGTGCCCCTCGGGGAACGACGGGGAACCGCAAAGTTTTCATGGCGAAAATAGTGGCATCCGCAGCTAAGTCCCCATGAAGTCTATTCACAGTTCTGGTCTACGCGAACGGCCGCCAGTGAGCTAGCATTGGGTTCTATGGAAAGTGCCGAACCAGGGGGAATAAGGGTCTTTACAGTCGCTGATCTGGCCCATAGTCCTGAGGTAAGATGCTGGCCAGCAGGCCCCTCCAAGAACACGTGACGAGGTTCAGTTCATCACACTGAGCAATACCTGATTTAAGTTTCATTGGACCATAGCAAATTTCCGACCCAGAAAGCAATTCCAGGGTGATTTGGGGTATCTACCACTGTCGCAGGGGTCACCGTTGCAACCGGGCCCGTCGCTCCAGGGGGTCTGATTGCAGCCACAACCCCTGTGACTGTGAGCCGCCTGCATACCTTCTGGTTTGATGCACAGCTGTGATTGTTGGCAGGAAGAGAGAGCTGTGCCGTGCTGCTCCCCTCCTGCCCCTTGTGTAGCATGGCCGAGTGGTCTAAAAGGAAGTACTGTGGGGGGGGGGTTGGGGTTTAGGAATGACACATGGAGGGCTGGAGGTGAGGGAATGACACACATGGAGATGACTGGGGGGATGAGGCACATGGAGGGGCTGGGGGAGGGAATGACACAAATTAAGGGGCTGGGGAAGGGCATGAGACACATGTAGGGGCTGGAGGGGAGAAAATGAGGCATATGGAGGGGCTAGGGAGGAGGGAATGACACACGTGGATAGGCTGGTGGGATAAAATGAGGCACATGGAAGGGCTGGGGGGAGGGAATGACACAAATGAAGTGGCTGGGGGGGAGGGAATGAGATGTATGGAGGGGCTGGTGGGAAATAAGATGCATTGAAGGGCTGGGATGGAAATGAAGCGCATGGAGCGGCTGGTGGGAAATAAGATGCATTGAACAGCTGGGATGAAAATGAGACGTGTGCAGGGGCTGGGGGGACAAGACAAATGCGGGGGCCCCAGGGCAATTTTCGCACCAGAGCCCAGTGATTCTTAGTTACATCTCTGCTCCCAGTCAAGCTCTTTGTGCCTATAATGAGCATAGATAGCTTCCCAGGGTCCTTGAAGCTAGCTGGATAGTACAACTAGGCGTTCTGGATGTCCTGCACGGTGGAGGCACAGGATGGAAGGGTGAACAAGGTGATTTTATTTCTTTTGGGGTAAGAGTGGCCAGGAAGCCCTTGCCAGTCATCATAGTGACTGTATCAGTCTGCCACAAGTTATTTTAGGGGTAACTTATCTGATTATGAGGTCAGGTTTATCTAAGCTATTACTGAGCTCAGACTAAGGTCCAGCAGTATGAGCGGTTACATCATGTTCAAAAGCATAGAAGTAAAAACAACAATCAAATTCTGAGAATGAACATGTTCTGCCCTGCTGCCTCGACTCTATCCAGTCCTAATGCGTCTTCTCATATTTGCTGCCAGCTCTGTCATCTGACCAGATAAGTTTGCTTTAGGAACATATTATATAAAAGGTATATGTATAATGTAAAATCTATTTGTTTAACTTTTGATTTTTTTCTCCATTTTTTTATTTTTTATTTTCTATCACCTGATCTAAATGTTTACAGAAAATTCAGAGTAAATTATTTACTCATTCAAAAAAAAACAATAATGGGGAGAACTAAAATGAAACTGGTCTGTAACACTGAAGGTGGATAGAAAAGGTCTATAGTACACCCATTTCTAAAGACTGTGAGTTTCGAGCCTCAGACTAATCCAGTAAAATGATAATGAAGGGTTTTCATAAGAGGGTAGATAAAAATCTATTAGTGCTTGTTTTGCCAACTCCATAATATACAAACGACATGAAGGAGGTTAAGAGCCGGAGTTAGTAACACTATTTAAAGTATAATGCCAGTTTAGTTTCAATATGTATATATATATAATAAACATATTCTAAGTAAACTGAATTGTGCAGCTATGCCCACAATAGCCATAATAAAATAGCCCATTGCATGCTGAGTGTACTGCTGATATAGATGGCTGTGACACAGCAAGAATGAATGAAGTCAGCAGATTTTGTTACAGGCCATGGGGTATTATCATATTATCGGATGGAATGTCCACCATTAAAGACAGGCAGGAGAAAGGATTCCATCTATCACTGCCCCGCGCCTCCTGCAAACTATGCACTCCTAATTCCTCTGGCATAATTATTTTAGAAACTTTACGTTTATCTCCATACACGGAAAAATAACTATAATGTGTGTATGTGGGGAGAGTGGGGGGGGGGGGGTATCAATTAAAGGGACATTGAATTTGTCTGGATGCAGTGTCCCTGTCCCCTTAGCCCTGATTAAGATTGCCCCTAGTGACTGTCTATCAGACAGCCAGTAGAGGCGTTTCCTGCTGCTCTGTAAAGTGACGCTAGATGTCCTCATGCTCTGCATAAGGATGTCCAGTGTCTTCTAAGTTCCCATAGGAAAGCATTCAGTGCTTTCCAATGGGGAAGGCTAAATGTGTGCATGGCACTCTCCGTACATGCACAATAAATTCATCTTATCAGCTGACGTCAGAGGAGGAAGAGCCCGACCCAGTGCCGAGGGACCTCAGTGCTGAAATCAGGTAAGTGTTTAAGGTGTTATTTAACCCTTTCATGGGTGGAGGGGGCTAGGGGGTGGGGGGTGAGTTGCAGAGACCGAGGAACACTTTTATGTTAGGAATACCGTTTTTGTATTTCTAACACGATAGTGTTCCTTTAAGGACTGAATGCAGCTTAATAGAGACCAGAGGTCACACTTGAGGTGGCTTGAGGAGCTACACCAGTTAACAAACCACTGGCCAAGATAGCACTTGTTATCTATACACTATATGTGAAACCATCACCAAGCTCTTTACTTGGTTTGAACTTTTACCCTTAAAATAGACTTAAGCTGATTATGGACTAACAACAATAAAAGGCCTTTACACAACTGTATTAGTGAATAACAAGCTGATTTAGAAATGCAGTGGAGTTCCTCCCTAGCAACATATTTAACATTAGAATACATGGCAAAAAAATAAGAAAGAAAATGCTAAAAATAGAGCCTTAAAGGACCACTATAGTGCCAGGAAAACATACTCGTTTTCCTGGCACTATAGTGCCCTGAGGGTGCCCCCACCCTCAGGGTCCCCCTCCCGCCGGGCTGGATGGAGAGGAAGGGGTTAAATCTTACCTTTTTTTCCAGCGCCGGGCGGGGAGCTCTCCGTCTCTGATCCTCCTCCTCTCCTCCCTTTCGGCTGAATGCGCATGCGCAGCAGGAGCTGCGCGCGCATTCAGCCAGTCTCATAGGAAAGCATTTACAATGCTTTCCTATGGACGCTTGCGTGTTCTCACTGTGATTTTCACAGTGAGAATCACGCAAGCGCCTCTGGCGGCTGTCAATGAGACAGCCACTAGAGGCTGGATTAACCCATTTATAAACATAGCAGTTTCTCTGAAACTGCTATGTTTATAAAAAATAGGGGTTAATCCTAGAGGGACCTGGCACCCAGACCACTTCATTAAGCTGAAGTGGTCTGGGTGCCTAGAGTGGTCCTTTAAAGCTGTTATGTCACTTTTTGTCAGTCTCCCCTCCAATATTATGTACTATAAGTCCTCCAAGACATATAATTAGTCCACAGACCATTTTTAAATTGAACCTGTAAATTATAAATTAACTTTGGCTAGATCTCCCCCTATTACATCAAACACATCATATATCATAAGGATACATGATATATTCAATGCAAAATAATGGGATTTACTCACCACACCTCATTCCAGTGCTGTCATTTTCTCATCTTCACTGGTGTTACTGTTAATGTAACATACATTTTTGCTCCTCCTTCAGTCTTCTGTGATTTGCCCTCCTTGGGAACGCCTCCCCAAGCAGGGCAAACCGCCTAAGTGACGCCTCTGAACAGAGCTTGCCTGCCAGCGTCCTATACTGCCTAGCCAGTGTTAGTAGCGCCGCCTAAAGAATTACCATAGCAACTAAAGCACATGAGCTGTGGTTGCTATGGGTGGAAAGGAGAAGGACTGCCTGTGGGCAGTCTCTCCTCCTCTCATTATCAATTAGTTCTTTGGCAATGCCCAAGAGTTGATTGAAAGGTGGGAGAACAACCTATTTTTAAATAGGCTTTTTGTAGCGGAGTGCTAGTCCTAGCAGGGACTCTCCTCCGCTGGTTACTCCAAGATGGACTCAGGAACAAGTAGAATACTCCAAGAAAACAGCTAAATACAGCAAAGTAATCAAAAAATCTCCCACCACCTCCCCAGCAACTGGATGACTCTCAGCTCTGGGGGTATAACTAATATTAATGGCGCCACAGCTGGCCTTTTATGAGAATCTCCATGCAAGGGGTTTCCAATTACATATTCCAGGGGCATTCCCCACTGGACCTGAGAGTTGACTGAAGCAAAGTACACAGTTTAATTACATTAACACTCAGGTCCAGGACATGTACAATCTTTATCACCCCAAAATATACATTTTATCACAAGGTACCCCCTCAAGTCCTATATCCTCGGATAG